TACTTCCCTATCTCATCAACTTCCCTGACGTCACGATGTACTTCCCTATCTCATAAACTTCCCTTATGTCACGATGTACTTCCCTATCTCATCAACTTCCCTGACGTCATGATGTACTTCCCTATCTCATCAACTTCCCTGATGTCACGATGTACTTCCCTATCTCATCAACTTCCCCGATGTCACGATGTACTTCCCTATCTTATCAACTTCCCTGATGTCACGATGTACTTCCCTATCTCATCAACTTCCCTGACGTCACGATGTACTTCCCTATCTCATCAACTTCCCTTATGTCACGATGTACTTCCCTATCTCATCAACTTCCCTGACGTCACGATGTACTTTCCTATCTCATCAACTTCCCTTATGTCACGATGTAGTCCTCTTTCTTGTCAACTTCCTTTCCTTTCTCTTTTCACACCAAAGGAATGTGCTTTGCATTTTCCTGATACGCCTTATCAGTTATCTCTGTAGCTTGACTGTTACTGAAAGATTTGCACCACGCTTGTTAACTTTCCAGGATAATTTCATCTTTTTTTCTGTAAAACCATATTTGTGAGACTTCCACGCAATTGTTACTGCCTATCATTCACTTCCCTATTTAACGATTGGTAGTTAATAATTCTTAAGCTGATGTACATAATTCGCGTTTCTACGTTAAGATTGGTAGTTAATAGTTCTTAAGTTGTTGTCCATGATTCACTTTTCTACATAAAGATCGGAATTTAATAGTTCTTCAGCTCTTGTCCACTATTCGCTTTCCTACATAACCATTGGTAGGAAATAGTTTTAGAACTTTTGTTTGCGATTAAATTTCCTATACAACGATTAGTATTATATAGATTTTGAACAGTCTAGCATCCATTGACAAACGAGTTAAGTTAGGCAATGTTATCAGGGCACCCTAGACATTCTCATATCCATGCGGTGATTGTCTTTAGCAACCAGCTGTGAGTTTCAGTTTCCCTGGCCCTGCATCAGCCTGATTAGACGTCCGTTTGACCTTTCCTCTGATCGTAGAATCAGCCAAATACCACTGTCACTCCCGGATGTTCCATTCTATTTCCACTATAATGAGCTTTTCGCACAATGGCATTGTTTGCTTGCTCCTAACTGATCATGACTACATCTACCTTGTGATCAATCAATTAAAAAGAACCCATTAAAAAAGAACCGAATATCTTTATTCCTGTGAGCTGCTGTTTTTTTTTCTTAAGCTATTCTTGATTTCAGGAGCTGTCGTGGAGTAGCGGCTAGACGCTCGCCTACGGATTGCTAGCCACGTCACATAACCAGTGCCTATTGGCCTATAAATATAGGTCTAGCCCTATTTGCCCAGTACGGCTAAAGGCATGAAGGCATGTTTTATTTCTATTGTCTGTATTCACCAGAGTATTGGCGTGGTGTAGAGGCCTGCAGTTGGGGCCCATACAGGACTGGGATCCCCCCCCCCCCAGAAACTACCTTGTCTCCTAGGTCGATCCGGCCTTGAGTGGGTACCAGGATGTAAAGGCGGCCGGCATGATTTTGACCATATCACCCACCGAGTACATATTGCTCTATAACAATATAGGTCCAACACTGTGTGCCCAATACGCCTAAAGTCGCGGAAATGGGTCCTTTACTGTGTCTGTACCACTTGGAGAGAAAAAAGGGGTGGGGTTGAGTTGGTGTACTGGGGGAGAGTGGATGTCTTGAGTCTTAATGCAGTCGGAAAAATTCCGCATTTTCCTTAACATAGCCCAGCGTTCTTGTCTTTTTAACTCTAAGCAACTCACCGTGATTTTGTTTTCCCCGTTACTCCTAACATGACATGCTTTTCTAATCGTTTGTGCTTCCTATATATAGTCAGCAACGTGTTCTTTACGAATCAACCCCGACATTTGTTGTGGCTGTTGTGAGCTTTCTAGGCCACTGTTACGCTCAGTAGTTTGCCATTGCTCACAGAAACGGTCGGCTCTGGATACCGCTGTCGAAACCAGCGCATGACTGTCAGCTGCCAAATCGCCTGCAGCAGGCATACAACCCAGCACCTCGGCATTATGAAGCGTGTTAATCAGTGCTATCATGATTGCTCCTTAGATCACGCTTGTCTCTCAGTGCTAGTTTTTTTTTTTTTTTAACCCATCTAGAGCTCACAATTCATTACAGTAAAAAATACTTAGAAATCAGTGAGCTAAAGTAACACATGCCTGAAACACAAAAAGTTAACAGCTCGGCCACTGGAGATCTCTCCCAGAAATTAACTTCTTTAAGAAGTACAGTTATTTACCTATCCTTTATATGACTGTAGCAAACCAACTTCAGCATTCGTTAACTGTTGTTGCGTTTTGCATTCAGTAATTTGCCACTGAAGTGTAGACTGTAGACACTCCATAACACTGACTAAATCAGTCCAAACTGATCTGTTGTCTTCAGCTGAATCGAACCAGGTATCCCGGAGCTATGAACCGCAAACCTGACCCCTACCTTAGAGATGCCAACAAGTTTTACAGAGATGACTGAAATTACAACTGAATGGTAAAATACTTACTTGGCGGAGCAACACGTATCCAGACAGATTATTGTCTCTTCGGAAATCGCATCTGGCGAAAACAGGCTCTAGTTTGTGTGAGTGTGTGTGTTGTGTGTGTGTGTATGGTGTGTGTGTGGTGTGTGTGTGTGTGTGGTGCGTGTATGTGTGTATGTATGTGTGTGTGTTGTGTGTGCATGTGTGTGCATGTGTGTGCATGTGTGTGCATGTGTGTGAGTGTTTGTGGAGGTGATGAGAGACAAGAAAAATAAAAAAAAAAATTAGCGATGTGAGTCAAAATGAGTGTCAGCTAATTAACAATTCACATCTTTTAATTTCCATGTTCCACTTTAGGATCCAGGGCCTCATTCGAAAGGGACGGGGCGGGGGTAGACCCACTGCAGCCCTCACAAGCATGTCGTACAAGGCGACTAATAAGGTGAGTTTCCTTCAAAGTCGTAGCGCATCTGCCTGAGAGACGAGGAACCGACGGTTAATTACGCTGTATAAATGCGTAAAAAAGTGAGCTAGAAATACTGATGTTTGTTTTTGCATCATCATCATCATCATCATCATCATAAATGTCCACTTTTACCGTTAAGCTTTGTGGAGAGGAACAGTTGGCGATCCATTGCTTGATGGGTAGCAATATCATTCTGTTTGATCTCATCAATCCATATTCTCATATGGCGGCCTCTTGATTTCACTTCAGATCCTTTCATGTTTAGCTCCTGCTTTGGCAGTTGTTCTGTCTGCATTCTCACTAAAGGACCAAACCATTTTATCCTTTGTTTCTCAATGAATTGGCTGCATGGTGTTGTTACTACAGTCTGTCTGATCATTTCTAACTTCGGATGGTTGAGTGGCGGCTTTTCTCATGCATCTCTTTTCACAGGCTGGTAATTTTACATAGTTTAGCCTTTGATAAAGTAGCACAGTGGTGATATGAATATGCTGTTTATAAGCGGTTTCCTGTCGCTAACTTATGTTTGGATGTCTTAAAAACGGTGTCAGTTGACATATAAGTGCACTGGCTCGTTGGCATCTTGTTTCTATTTCCCGATCATATCTTCCGTCCTCCGGAAATATACTTCCTAGAGTTTTAAATTCTTTAACTTGCTTCAGACAAGTACCATTCAACCCGATCTGTAGCGGACTTAAAATTCTCACGACCCGCATTACTTCAGTTTTGACATGATGCTGACCATATCACCCATCTTGTGCCGGGTCTATAAAAATATAGGTCTAGCCCTACATGCCCTATACACCTAAAGGTGTGGAAAAGGGACTTTTACTTTTTTTAAAATTTGTTTTTGTTTTCAATAAACGTAAAATAACACCCCAATTCTGACACATTCTGTAAACAATACACAAATAACATGTATTTAGGTGCGCTTTGTTATGTTGTATCCTTACGTCCTTTTAAGGACGTAATTTTTTATTATTTGAAGCCCCAATCTGGCTTTTGCCAGGGGCCGCAATATAGGCAGGCCATAAATACGGCCAATTGTCTGAACGCGGTTTCTGAGACCTCTCCACGGTGATCCTCATCCACATGGTGGCACTTTGTGTCATCGGGTGTTTATCGCTTGTGTGATGTCCTAGTGGGGTAGAAAGTCAGTTAGTCAGTCAGGCAGCTTTCATATGTATTGTATCGATCCCGCCCTTTTTAGGATGACATTTTTCGTTAATTGAAGCCCTTACTCTGGCTTTGCCAGGGGCCGCAATAAAGCCTGGCCATAAATATGGCCTACAGACTGAACGCGGTTTCTAGGACCTCTCCACGGTGATCCTCACCCACATGGTGGCACATTATGTCATCAGGTGTTTATCGATGGTGTGATGTCATGGTGGGGTAGAAAGTCAGTCAGGTGCGCTTTGTGCTGAGTTTGTGAGTTCAAGCATTTTTGCACGCGTACTAACACAGGACTTTAGGTCACACCAGGCTAGTGTAGTTGTTCTGGGTGCTCTATTTAAGCAAATACTTTTCGCAATCTCACACGATCACAGGAATCGCAGATCGGTTTCCTAGTCACAAACCCATCCCTTTTGCCAAGTAAAAGGAACGGATCGTTTTCCATTCCTGCAAGCTTATTGGCTATACAGAGCTAGACCTACATTTTATTGACCAATCGGTGCTCGGTTGGTGATGTGGTTAACATCATACGGAACGCCTTTACTTCTCATGGCTTTACCTTGTACTCATTTAGGTATGGGTCGACCGGCGCGCCAAAGTTGAGAAAAAGTCTGTCTCCGTCGTGACCTAAAGGCAACACCTCCGGATCAGCAGACGAACGTCCAGCTTATAGTCTACGGCGTCTCCCATGTGGATAAGTCTCCCATGTGGATAAGTCTCCCATGTGGATAAGTATAAGTCTCCCATGTGGATGTCTCCCATATGGATAAGTCTCCCATGTATATGTTTGCCTTACCCTTCCGCTCTTTCCAGCAATTTTGCCAGGCGAGTCTATTCCTAATTTCCTTCTCATAACGTGTTTGAAAATCCCCAATTTCCAACGTCTAATTTCTATAATCAGTTTACGATGTTCGCCTGTCTAGAAGACGATGCCACATTCTATGACACTGGTTGCATTTTTCTCAAAATCCACATGTTTGCCAATCTATCAGCCTGCTCGTTACCTCACACATCGGAATGTCCTGGACAGAAAATCCATGACCTGCTTTGTATCTGGATCTTATCAAGTAATGCAAGCCACTTTGCGCGCAGGACACCAGTTTCAATTTTTTAGAAAGTTCTTGTTTTTTGTCCACTTGTGAACTTAAGCCTTGTCCAGAACTTGATTTTTACGTGCACACCCGTTTTACATATCTGGCTCACTGGTATTATACTGCTGGTTCCTTGCCTCTCAGGCAGATGCACTTCGACTTTAAAGGACACGCCTAATTAGTTGACAATGTCGACATGCTTGTTAGGGAGGCAGTAGGCTACCCCTCCCCCGCCCCCCTCCCCCGCCCCCTCCCTTTTTCCCTTTCCCTCGACACACACCAAGAGACCCAGAAAATGTTTGTCTGTCAGCTTGTCTGCTTCTTGTCGGCGACTCACAGACATGTAACAGGGTTGGTTCCATATAGCACTTTAATGCTCTTTTTTCCCCCACTGCAATCGACAGCAAATGGTCTATTACTTTACACTGACTTCATCTTTTGTTTGCCTGAAATAAGTTGTCTATATCTGCAATTATTGGTTTCGTATAAATGTCCCTGTCTGTTTAGAGTGGCTTAGGCGTTGAAAACGGGAGTGGGGGAGGGGGTTGGGGAGGGGTAAGTGCTCTTAAAAATTTAGGTAGAGGGCTAAAGAGACCTACGCCTTCTTAAAGTGCTTAATAATAATTTGCTAAATGAAACACAAAAAATGTCGCATATTTCTTTAGGTTCCTAGTGATGATGATAATAATAATTATAATAATTTGGTAAATGACAACTAAATACAACATATTTCTTCAGGTGCTTAGTGACGACGACAACGATAATAATGATGATGATGATGACGATGATGATGATGATGATGAAGATGATGAGGAAGATGATAATTTGCTAAATGAGAAATAAATATAACATACTTCTTTGGACTTCATGTGCTTAGGGATGAATATAATTATAATAATTTGCTAAATGACAAATGCATATAAACAACCCTCCTCCCACCCCCCCCCCCTTTTTTCTTCCCCCACTAAACTGACGATTCTGTTTCTTTCTGTGTTAAAGTCTTTTGTTCCCTTGGGGTTTTGTACAAAAACTCATAACTGTTTTCATTAACAAAAAAAAAAAAAAAAAGAAAAAAGAAAAAAAATGAATTAAAGATAATCTCAATGGTTGCCAGATTTATTTAGCATTCACTGATCAAAACGTAAATATAGGAAGACACTTAATGTGATGTTTGCAACACGTGGGGAAAGTTAACAATACATCGTATGTTGTTTGTGATTGAAAGCATTAATGCTGTCATGCGTCACGTGCTCGACGCGTGATCGGTTCCTGGGATAGTGCCCGCTGGTTAATTTGCTACAGGCTGACATTGTTGAGTTTCAGGAAGTTGTTAACTCCATCTATCCATATTCTCCTTGGCCTTCCACTGCCTCTAGATGTTTCCATTCTTATGTTGTACACGCTTGCAACCGGTGACGCTAGGTTCCTTCTGACTAGGTGTCCAAACCATTTCAGTCTTCACCGGAACAGTGGAAAATATAAGCATTTACCAGCAGTTTGGCAGGAGGCAAAAAAAAAAAAAGGGGGGGGGGGAAGCTCAGGAATTCTTAAGCCCCCCCCCCCTCCTCCCACGCAGTTGCCAGCGTCCTATTGTCACATCCCCCAACACCAAAAGCCTAATACTAATAGGGCGGAATGAAGCAATCTATTGTCGAATGGAATGACACGACAAGATTGCGATGGCGGTGATGATGATGATGATGATGGTGGTGATGATGATGATGATGATGATGATGATGACGATGATCTTGAATTCCAAAACGGTCACGCATTAGATTAGTAGCACAACTGATTACGAGCCCTATGTAATAAAAATATACCCAGCACGCCACGACCATGACTGCCAAAACGGACCTTTTCACGTTTCCCGGCCCATCAACACACTTTCTCAGTCTGATCTAGGTCAGAGGGGTGTCACCTTGTACAGCTTTCTTCGAAAAGAGTCTCTTGTGTAACCTAGGCTGTGAGTGGGGTAGGGGCGGGGGGGGGGGGGGGGAATAGGGCTAGTTCTACATGTTCTAGGGTCGTTGAAAGATGTGTATTCATGTAGTCTGGAACACGCGACAACGGCGCTGATGTCATTGGAGGAAAGACAACGTGATACCCCTCCGACGTAGAAGAGTCTGAGAAAGTATGAATGAAAGGTCAGGTAGTGTGTAGATGGGTCGGGAAATGTGAGCTAAACTGCCAAGACTACCACACATCAGGACAATAACAGAATCTTACCATCTTTTACAGGCTCTGCAGTTGAAGACTCTGAATCGTTTCTCTCCCCCTGAACCGGAAGTGGTTTCTCATCCAAGGTCAAATGAATGTGTACATGGGTACTGCGATCCCTAAAGCTATAATGGCCTTTGTGGTAATTGTCGTTAGGTAGACTGTAGTCATGACCTCCTGCAAACTTGTTGCCATGGCTATGGTGTTTATAGTGATTATGGGGTTTATGGCTGCGGTCTCCCTGTTTGTTGGAGTGGCTTTTACTGGAGTGGGAGTGGCTTTTACTGGAGTGAGAGTGGCTTTTACTCTTGTCTTTGGAGTTATGTTGGTGGGATTTGTGGCTGCGGTCTCCATGCCCGTGGGTGTGGTTGTGGCTTCCTGCGCTGTGATCTTTCTCACTGGCGGTTGTGTTAACTTCGCCGGATGTGTCGTTGTCTTTAATTTTAGGGTCTTCCTTTCTTGGGTGGGAGTATCGATGGGAGTGGGCGTGGCGGTGGGCGTGGCCGTGGTGGTGGTGGTGGCCAATCGAGTGGTCGTGCGAATCGTTATGGGTGTGGTCATGGTGATGATACGGGGAATGGTGGTGATGTTTTTCTTTGTCTCCAAGTTTGTCCTTGCAATTTTGTGGACAGGAGTTTCCTGCTTACAGAACATAAATGCATATTGCGTGAATATAATTGCAAATCAACACAGCCTTCGACTTGTAGAAACGAACACACAAACATGAAGTAAAGATATGTGCGCAGACGTACTAACAGGCATGCTTTGCCTTGGAGTTTAGGGTCAAAAGCATTGTCTTGACCTCTAATCTATGTATGCCAGTGTAAAGGAAAATCATCAGGAGGACAGAGTGGCCTGCTCTGCACAACTTGGGGGAAAATTGATGCATGAAAAGGCAGATTTGGTTTTAGGACCTTTTGGGGATAATCACAGTCCGGTGGTAGAGTGATGCAGTCAGGAGTGACGATACTCGACGCTAAGAGGAAAGGCAAGACGGATATAGATTCAGACTTCTGGCGCCATTGGTAGCGAAATTCTTCTCTGGTTGCTGAAGATAGGTCGCAGAGCTTATGGAAACACCCTGAGTGCTGTAATATCGACTATTCAGTTAAATCAAATCAACATATTGACAGAGAGGAAGACATACCTACAGTAAAACGGAGAGATAAACAGATCGAGCGAACAAACATTTGTTTTTTAATTCTAAAGGGTCACAAACTGAGTAGGCAGGCCCGTTTTATATTCGGCTCTTCCAAACAGGCATCTTTCATACAGCATTTAAAATCTGTATTTTAAGCATGTCATGATCACATTATACAAATAACATCAATATCGAATAGATACACAAAAATGTGAATGGTTGATGCATGCATTTAAATATACATACATAAAAGACACGCAAACAGGCATACATGCACATAAATATACATTTTTGCCACTCAAGCACACATAAAAGCGCACAACATACATACGTACACATATACATACACATATACATGTACACATAAATACAAGTATGTACTTATAGACAGACAGACAGACAGACAGACAGACAGACAGACAGACAGACAGACAGACAGACAGACAGATAGATAGACAGATAGATGGACAGATAGATAGATAGATAGATAGATAGATAGATAGATAGATAGATAGATAGATAGATAGATAGATAGATAGATAGATAGATAGATAGATAGATAGATAGATAGATAGATAGATAGATAGATAGATAGATAGATAGATAGATAGATAGATAGATAGATAGATAGATAGATAGATAGATAGATAGATAGATAGATAGATAGATAGATAGATTAGATTAGATTAGATTAGATTAGATTAGATTAGATTAGATTAGATAGAGGCGTGGATAAATGGATAAATAGACAGGCAGCCCGACAGACAGACTGTCATACACACAGAAACTAAACTAATTTGTACTCGATTACTTACGTTTACCATTCTTGTCACCATGAACACGACCCCTGCAACCATGGTCACCATGGTAACCAGCCGATGACGCCTGACCACCGTGGACGTGAATGTGAACGGGCTGCGAGAGTATTCTCAGGTGTCTCCAGAGTGACGTCACGTTCTTCTCGATATTCTCAAGCGTGTCGGAAGCTGCAGATGATAATGTGCGTAAATGCGTGAAAAGGACATCTTTCTGACCTTCTTAGAGTAGAAATTCTCGTTTGCGCCGATGGCATATCGTAAAGTAAGAAATAACATCCCAGAAAAAGCACTTTGGTGAACAAAGTCAAAATGTCACTTAGTGACTTTAGCGTACTACAAACGAGTGTACAAATCTTGCTAAAACTTCTCGGCTAGCTTGGGACCCAAGATAAATAAAATACAGAATTGTTCGCCTAAGTTCTCAACCACTACAGTCAGATTGTTACTAATCATTATCATCATCATCATGATAATCTTTATCATCATCATTTTTATTATCATTATCATAATCATGGGCAATCATGGCATCTACAATCTGCGATATTCGATAACATGTATCAGCCCGTGTGCTGGCACCACTCCATGCCATGACAGAAGGCTGTCAAGAAGCATCTCGGGTTGCCCTTCGCTGTCTCTTCTATCACAGATATTTCCAGGTTTCACAAGATGTTCCAGTTTCATACTCACAATACGACCAAACAAAAATAACGACTATCTCTGTCTGGTGTTCGTGATAAATTACCCTCGACTCCTCGCCTCTTTCAAAACATCTGCTCTCTCTTTAGCTGTCCGTGGAATTCTAAAGATTTTACTATACAACAACATCTCCGAGCCCTCGAGAAATTGTCCGGCTTGTTTAGTAATTGTCCCGGATTCACAGCCATATGTTCAGCTTCCCTTTTTTTACGCCTTAAGCGCATCAGGCATATGGGAAGAGCAACCCATGATTTTACAGACCAATCGGCACTGGGTGGGTAATGTCGTCAGCATTCGTGGTACCCATTTTAAGCTGGGTCGACCTGTGACGCCCCTCACTATGATAAAAAAAAAAAAAAAACCACATACAGCCAGCAGTGGGCTCCGATCCCGGTTTAGCTTTATATAGCATGCTAGAGTTATTGTCCCAACCCCCCCCCTCCCCCCCCCCCCCCCCCCCCCCCCAGTGACATGAATTTATTGTGTATATTGTTCCTCATTGTATAAAATGCAGTTTTAAACTTTCCTATTATGTTATGATCAGGATTTTCAACAAATTTCCAGTTTTGATGTTAAGCGCCGGGGAGAGGAATCGTGTGCGATCCATTGCTTGCTGGCTGGCTATGGTTATTGTCGATGTAGAAGGTATTTAATATCATCAATCCTTCTATTCAGAAGGTGACCTCTTTCACATCAGATCGTTTCATGTATAACTCTTGTGTTTGCTATTGCTGTGACTGCATTCGAATATTCATGTTCAAAACTAATTAGGCGAATGGTATTGTTTCCACAGTCGGTCTGCTAGTAGATCACTTCTCAACATTGTCTCGGATGGTTAAGCTGACGGATTTCATCAGGCATCTCATACTGTCAAATGTGGGTTCCGGGCAACCAGTGTTGCTGGGGAGGAAAGGGTGGGCGGGGAAGCAGACCTACCGCTCCCTTATAAGCGTGTCGTAAAAGGCGACCGATTAGGGTTGCTTACTTTGAAACCTTTAGTTCAACGTGGGTGGTTTAATAATAGTGACACAATTGACATTGTTCATGTCATTAGCGCTTCAGGCATATGATGATAAACATGTTTTTAAAGTGGGTAATTGGGTCAACATCCCACGGACAGCCTTTACTTTCCGTGACATTTTATTTTTCCAAATTTTGGTGCTGTCAGCCAAATGTCTAAGGTCCAAATCCAAACCAGTGACTGGCTGACTGACTTTCTACCCCACCAGAGCATCACACAAGCGACAAACACCCAATGACACAAAGTGCCACCATGCGGGTGAGAATCGCCGTGGAGAGGTCCCAGAAACCGCCTTCAGACATTTGGCCATATTTATGGCCTGCCTATATTGCGGCCCCCGGCGAGAGCCAGGGTCGATCTTCAAATAAAAAATTTCGTCCTGAAAAGGACGAAAGGATTAGGGAATAAAACCAGTGTGAATTTCTCTCTCCTCCCCCCCCCCCCCCCCCCCCCCCCCAACAACTTTCCGCTTTAAAATTGGATTTTGCTCACAGGTCGACATGGCCTAAATTAATTAGTACAAGTCAATGCACTAGGAGGTAAAGGAGGCCGGCATAATGTCGACCACATCGCCCATCAAATGCCGACTAGTCTATAAAATGATGAGCCCTGCATCATGTGCCGGATGCTCCAAAGGCGTGAACAATGTCGGGTAGTGAAGCCCCAGCCAAAGGCAGTAAAGGGTAATTATCTGCGCCTTGAGGTGTACTGGCTTATAGGGCTAGACATATATTTTATTGACCAACCAGCACTCGGGGAGTGATTTGATTAGCATCATGCCGACCATCTTTACTTCCCAGGACCTTACCTGGTAGCGACTGAAGGCTTGGTCGAGCTGGGAACTAAGGTCATTTTTGGGAGAAGAAAAAACAACGGCTCTGCCAGGCACTGGGAGGGAGACAAGGACAAGAATGCATTTCGTTACAGGGAGACAAACACACGAAATCCTAATTATTTTTGCGTACCCGAGTTACTGGCCGTAGTCGAACAATTTTGCAGCGGAGATGGTTCAGAAAAAGCAGTTTGATTGCCATCTTTAACGTCTGGGGATTGTACCTTTTCCTGTGGCGCCTCGGCAACACTTTCCTCTGGGTGCTCAAAAATAAAGTCAGGACTCTTCTTCGAATCTCTCCCAATCTTTTTGTCTGGCTTTTTCTTTGCGGGTTTATTTTGCATAGGCTTCATTTTCGGATTCATGTCAGATTGTTCGTCGTTTTTCGAATCGGACTTGGTGGATTTGTTTTTGGATAAATCATTCTTGGCCAACTTTTTATTTTTCGGTGTCTTTTTTGCGTCGATTGAGGTCATCACCAGCAAGGCTATCAAAACGAGGCCACAGCAAACCAAGAGGCGAGTTTTTCTCATGGCTGTGATTAAATGTTAACAGTCTGAAGAAGAAAAATAAGAATCGTAAAAGTAACATTAGTATTATGGTTGTTTGTCTGCTGGCACACAACAATAGAAGGCTCTGGTGGCTGGGTCACACCTGGAGTATGGCAGAGTCCCTAAGGACATCCTTTATGGTGAATTAAAGACAGGAAGAAGATGTCGAGGCCGACCTCTACCACTGTATAAAGATGTGTGCAAGCGGGACATGAATGATACAGGTACTGAGGTGGACTCATTTAGGGGGGGGGGGGGGGGGAGGGAATGCCATGGACTTTGTTGTGTGGAAAAAGCATATCAGGAAGGGAGTGAGAGTGAAGGAAGAAATAATTGCAGAAAGGATGAGAGCTGAGCGTCTGAAAAGAAACGGATTGAACACAAATGTTGACAACAATGATTCTGAAATCCCATACTATAATTGTGGAAGACTTTTCTTGACACAGGCGGGTCTTGCTAGTCACACTCGCCATCGCCATGGGCTGTGAGTCTCATGCCTCCTCATAGAGCAATATACCACTATCGTCTAGAAAGACGGAAAGATGCCAGTCATCATCATCACACAAAAGTACGCAGCACCGGCACTTTTGTTGTGAGTACTGCGCCTTTTTGTAAAGAAAGAAAAAGAGCCTAGAATATAATTATTTCTGTTTAAATCTTTATTGCAGAAAACAATTTGTATCTACAAAATTATTGTATGTCTTTTTCTTTTTGTGACTTAACAAAATTCTGCGATTTATTTATGTACAACAGATACTTCCATTCATTCATTTTTAAAGAGAAAATCGACCACGTTCAACCTACTGTGAGCAGTATAGGTTATAACTGTGCTCTGTTTCTTTGTGCTAATTATGTTGACTAAATCAAGTTAATTGCAATAAAGCTAGCGGCTTAAACCAATACTGTAGTACCTAGTAAGGGCTGCTGGAGAGGGGGCTGGTATGCACTATTCACACGCATTCTGACATACATGCACAATTATATATATAAATATATCATACATACACACACACACACACACACACACACATATATATATATATATATATATATATATATATATATATATATATATATATATATATATATATATATATATATCTAAACACACACACACATTATATACACCTCTGCACGCCCACGTCGGAAAGCATGTCTTTGTGTCTGCACACACACACACACACACACACACACACACACACACACACGTGTAAATGTATATTCACTCATACACTCAAGGGATCCCCCAGGATGTAGTGGCCTGACGTTTTCCTGTGGGCCAGAAGGCTATGGAGCCGGCCTCATATATATATATATATATATATATATATATATATATATATATATATATATATATATATATATATATATATATATATATATATATATATATATATATATATATATATGACCCTAGCTCCCAGGTCGATCCAGCCTTAGATGTATATGATACAGTTTTCCCCATTTCGTATTATTTGTACCGTTATTACTAGTTCGGGTCTTTTGGTTCTATGTGAGACACTTTCCCAATATCCACTACTAGAAGAAGATAGGCAGACTTGGCCAGTTTCAATTGTTTCACACAGTTAAATTCTTTCTCTTTTATTTCTTACCTTCCTCAAATCCTTTTTCGCACCTTGCCTTCTCTGTCTTATCATATCTTTATCTATAGAAATTTATAAATTTTTGCGTGTCCTGCAAATGAATTTTTTTGTTTGCTTCTGTATGTTCTCATAAAGGTCAACGTGTAAGCATTCCTTGGATGTGGATGATTTAGTTTCTGAAAATAGTTTTCCATGGGGTGTTCTTGCCTCTCTCTCTCTCTCTCTCTCTCTCTCTCTCTCTATATATATATATATATATATATATATATATATATATATATATATATATATATATATATATATTTCCAGTCAGCCGATGTAAAAGTGCCTGTTACTGAGTATACCAGTCGGAGGTCAAGCTGAGTAAGTTAGATGTAGCCTGTTCATTCTTACTGCTAGCCCTGACGTGAGGGTTAGCCAGCGACCAAGGCACTGAAGCGGTGAGCTCAAGAGTCTGTTAGACAGCAAGTGTAGGCTGTATTATGGAGCGCCGCCAGGACTGTGTTGGAGAATTTGAAGCCTAATGGAGTTAACTCAATATTAGCCAGCGTATGGACATACGTGATGTTGCTTCTTTGCCATTCATTGTGTGCGGGTTGGTAGACCCGAACATTCTTGTGAATAAATATGTGACGGGAAACCGTTGTTGATTTTTCCTGACTGTGCAGTGTGGCAGAGTTCGAGCGCTAGTCATAACCTAGACATTAGTACCAGTAACTCAAGGAGAGACTATTCCGATGAGAATCCAACCGAAGAAAATCCCAGACACCTCGTTCATGCGTATCATCGTTTTATTAGGACATCGAGGGTCAGGAAGTACCCTGTAGAATGGCTTTCACTGCGATTTTGTATTTTTTTTGTAATTAAACATAATGATGAGCAGCGGCTGGCCGAACGATTGGAACTTTGCAGTCTCACGCGGGAGACCAGGGTTTGAATCCTCGGTAAAGCTGACTATTTTTCTGTAAAAAATAAAATGCTCACCTGAACAGTCGTGGCGACAGCTCTAGCCACGGCCGATTCTATTTGTGGAGAATCCTTAGGTTTAAAGACCCCCCCCCCCCCCCCTACCCCACCCCCTTCTTTCCACCTGCCTACAGAAACGCTATATAAAGGCAGTAATTGGCAGATTTTTTTAATGATGTGTCGTCGTACGTCCTTCTTAGGACGTTATTTTTTGTTATTTGAAGCCCCACTCTGGCTTTTGCCAGGGGCCACAATATAGGCAGGTCATCATTATGGCCAAATGTCTGAACGCGGTTTCTGGGACCTCTCCACGGTGATCCTCATCCGCATGGTGGCACTTTGTGTCATCGGGTGTTTATCGCTTGTGTGATGTCCTGGTGGGGTAAAAAGCCAATCCAATCACAATGATTTCAATATGCTAGAGGAAATATTATTAATAATGTCAATATCCGGGTTTTGAACGTGATTGTTTACAACAACAACAAAATGCAGTTACTTAGCAATCGATACGACTATATAGTAACAATTTTCACATCCGACGCAAGCTTTATTTGTGTGTGTGTGTGTGTGTGTGTGTGTGTGTGTGTGTGTGTGTGTACACAAACATATGTATAAAATATTGTTAAACATGAAGAATTATGACTCTATAAAGCGAAAAGTACCACCTGATTCACGTAAGTCTCAGTAAATGCAAAGCGATACCAGAAAATGAAGTTGTCTGTGTCCCTGACAGGAGAAATGTGAGGAGAAACTGTTTGTGTGGGTAGAGATGGTGCTTAACCGCAGAACAGACAACGGGTCAGGAAAACAATCATTTGCGTATCAACAATAGTGTTATCGCTGTTGGATAGTTTCAAATAACCTGTAGCAGAGCAGGGCAAAAGTGCATAGTCACTTACACACAAGGGGGCAAAAGTGGTGTCTGCTGTGTGTATCATCATCATCATCATCATCATCATCATTATCATCATCATTATCATCATCATTATCATCATCATTATCATCATCAATATCATCATCATTATCATCATCATTATCATCATCATTATCATCATCATTATCATCATCATTATCATCATCATTATCATCATCATTATCATCATATCGTAACACTGCCTACTAAAAACTGGTGTTCTGAGCAGTTGTAGCTTAGTTATGAAATGTTTTTGGATCTCCATATGTACTGTCTGGCAAGGAATGTTGCTGTCTGGCAAGGAATGTTACTGTCTGGCAAGGAATGTTACTGTCTGGCAAGGAATGTTACTGTCTGGCAAGGAATGTTGCTGTCTGGCAAGGAATGTTACTGTCTGGCAAGGAATGTTACTGTCTGGCAAGGAATGTTACTGTCTGGCAAGGAATGTTGCTGTCTGGCAAAGAATGTTGCTGTCTGGCAAGGAATGTTACTGTCTGGCAAGGAATGTTACTGTCTGGCAAGGAATGTTGCTGTCTGGCAAGGAATGTTACTGTCTGGCAAGGAATGTTACTGTCTGGCAAGGAATGTTACTGTCTGGCAAGGAATGTTGCTGTCTGGCAAGGAATGTTACTGTCTGGCAAGGAATGTTGCTGTCTGGCAAGGAATGTTACTGTCTGGCAAGGAATGTTACTGTCTGGCAAGGAATGTTACTGTCTGGCAAGGAATGTTACTGTCTGGCAAGGAATGTTACTGTCTGGCAAGGAATGTTGCTGTCTGGCAAGGAATGTTACTGTCTGGCAAGGAATGTTACTGTCTGGCAAGGAATGTTGCTGTCTGGCAAGGAATGTTGCTGTCTGGCAAGGAATGTTACTGTCTGGCAAGGAATGTTGCTGTCTGGCAAGGAATGTTGCTGTCTGGCAAGGAATGTTACTGTCTGGCAAGGAATGTTGCTGTCTGGCAAGGAATGTTGCTGTCTGGCAAGGAATGTTACTGTCTGGCAAGGAATGTTACTGTCTGGCAAGGAATGTTGCTGTCTGGCAAGGAATGTTGCTGTCTGGCAAGGAATGTTACTGTCTGGCAAGGAATGTTACTATCTGGCAAGGAATGTTGCTGTCTGGCAAGGAATGTTACTGTCTGGCAAGGAATGTTGCTGTCTGGCAAGGAATGTTACTGTCTGGCAAGGAATGTTACTGTCTGGCAAGGAATGTTACTGTCTGGCAAGGAATGTTACTGTCTGGCAAGGAATGTTGCTGTCTGGCAAGGAATGTTGCTGTCTGGCAAGGAATGTTGCTGTCTGGCAAGGAATGTTGCTGTCTGGCAAGGAATGTTGCTGTCTGGCAAGGAATGTTGCTGTCTGGCAAGGAATGTTGCTGTCTGGCAAGGAATGTTACTGTCTGGCAAGGAATGTTGCTGTCTGGCAAGGAATGTTACTGTCTGGCAAGGAATGTTACTGTCTGGCAAGGAATGTTACTGTCTGGCAAGGAATGTTAATGTCTGGC